CAGTTCAACAATATAAGATGCAAAATGCCAAAAAGAGACACAAAATCGGTGCATAAATTCAAAGTTTGATATAAAGTTAACAATATAAATCCGATCTTCGGTGTAAAATGTCAACAAAGAGATGTAAAATTAGCAAAGACACTCAGAAAAAAAGGTATTTAAGAGTTCATAGAAGTTCCAAAAGAGATGCTAAATGACAATGAACCATAAATTCTCCATAAAATGGATGCAAAACTGAATATTAAGGGGGAAAAAATGGAAGTGGATATTTGAAAAAGTGTTTTCAAACCCTGTTGCTGAGGCCATGTTGCCCTGCATGTTTTCCATGTTTCCCTCCTCCAGAACATCTGATTCAAATAAATGGGAACACTTTTCAGCTATGCAGACCGCTGTTGAATCCCATTCACTGATTTTAAGGGCGGTAAAACTAAGTAAAATCACCACAAAGAGGCCCAAAACAATCCTCATCAGATTAACTGTTTAATATGAACCAAACTAGGACAAAATGCAACCAAAACTACACTTGAAAAGGGTCATAAAATTACCAAAATCAAGCTAAATATTCTCAAATGGAAAAATATAACTATAACAAGATGTAAAATGACAACAAAGTTCACCAAACTCAGTGTTGAGTAAAAATAAACCTTTACAAAATTTATAAAAACTGATGAAAACCAGTTTAAAAAATATTTGAAATGGCCAAAAAAATTAAACAGTAGGGCAAACGCACATGCAATAAAAACACTTTTTTAAGACAATAAATTAATTATACATACATACAAACTTATGAAACATAAAGAAACATAAGACATAAAGAAATAAAGTATAGTAAATAAAAAATAGAAGCTGACTAAAACCACATAATGAATTATAAAAACAAAATAAATGCCTAAAATTAGATATGAAAAAGGTTCTAAATTAGATAATTCATGTGACTTGAAAAAAGCTGAATGAAGATCCTTTAAAACTTGGACAGAAACTTTTCAGTTCATTCATAGAATATGTTGCCCCAAAGAGAAAAAACTAGAAAAACAGAAAAGTTATGTAAATCAGTTTGTTGTTGTTTTTATTTCCCACACAGGGCGACACCGCCCCCTACAGGCCGGTTTAGGAACTGATGCAGACTTTTCCCCCCAAACATCAGCAGGTTTAGCACTTTTCTCTCTTTCCTGTTGGATTTAAATTCATTCATTGTCACATTTTAGGGGGATCAAATCATCCCAGATTAGCCTTTTCTTATTGAAAGAGCATCATTGTGTGATTTTTCATTACTATGCTGAAACAATAAAAAAATACTACTTTTTCTTTCAGGAAACTATCAACATCAGATTTATTTAACTGTAAACATGCCTCAGTTTTAAAGCCAATTTTCTTTAGTCACTTTATAATAGATTTTTTTATGTTTTCATGGAGATGAAAGATAAAGTAAATAAATATGAAGTAAACCACAAGGCTTCATAAAAGTTAGTTCAAGTTTTTAGAACTTTCCAACAGTCTCCAAATGTCTTCTCTTGTCTTTTTAGACCAGGAGAGATTTTCTGCCTTGTCTTTTCTGAAAGATGGAGCCAAAAACAAAAAAAAGGATTCAAGTTTAATCTTTTAAATGTAAACGTCCAACAGATGGAGCTCTAAGTAAACTTTTACCATTTTCAGATAAAACCCAACTTGAAACAAATGCTGCTTATAATTAATTCAAAGTGTTTTTAGTCCATGTTCATGGTGCCTTTTTGGGTCAGGGTTGCGGTAGATAAGTGAATTCCAGCCTTTTCTGGGTTTAGATCAGATCATTAACCCCATAAGAGGCCAGACACGTTTTTTAGGAAATATAAAACTGACCGAATGAACCCAATTTATCACATTCAAAAACAAAAAAAATGTAGGTAACCCCACAAAATTTACACTAGCTCCATTTGCCATTTTTAAATAATGTATTTTAGTTTAAACAGGACGTTAGACCGGTGTCACAGAGTGTTATTAAAACCAGGAGACGTTCATCACAGAGACTCCAGTCGCCTTTAGGGGAGAAACAGACTCTAATATTTGTTTTTTAAATGAATAATAAATAATAAAAACAGTTATTTTAGCTCCTAAACAGCTTCTCCGGAGCTGAAACAGTCATTTCCGAGCCGCCATTGAACGCAGCTTGCACATTTCAATTGTTGATTTGTACATTCAGATCTATATTTTTAAAGATTGTATTTTTCAGTTTGATAATTTCTGTCCTATATTTTTATTTCTACATTTTATTTCTTGCTTCTCATAGAAGTGTTGTGTTGTGCACCAAACACCAAAAAGGAAAATTCCTTGTAAGTCTAAAAACCTACTTGGCAATAAACCTTATTCTGATTCTGATATCTCTACCTCTACCTCTATCTATACCTCTATCTCTATCTATACCTCTATCTATACCTCTATATATACCTTTACCTCTACCTCTATCTCTACCTCTATCTCTACCTCTACCTCTATCTCTACCTCTA